ATAATGTCAGCAATTGAGCTGTGAAAATCAGTTTTAAGCAAGCACTTGGCAACAGTGGGAAAGAAAAACTCACATTTAACAGGAAGAAATCTCATGGTTCACAGAGGGGCAGCCATCTGCCGTGAGTGGTTGAGGTTTAGGCAGAGCAAGACAGGACAAAAGGCACACATGAGAAGAATCAGCAATGGTTAAATGCAATACTGGGGTGTAAACACAGAGTGAAAAAGAGGTGAATTAAGAGGAAACACTTATCATGGGAGGCCCCCAGGATCCTAGGGCTATGGCAACTTAACTAAGGGAGGCTTCAGAGTAATTAGATTCAGCCTTATAAGCTTCGTCAAAACGGAAAGTTTCAAGCCTAATCTTAAAACTAGAGACGGTGTCGTTGTAGTTCCACAGAAGAGGGCCCTTTCACCCACATTCAGTTTATTAAAACTCCTATTGTGATAATATGGTTCTATGATGTCTTTAACATGAGAAGGAGAAGTTGAGGAGAAGGATATTGAATTCAGTTCTTCATTTAACAGGAACCAACAATGAGAAGGCATTATGGGAGAAATATGGTTGCTTGTTCTATTCTCTGTCAGCATTCTTACTGGAGTGCTCTGGATCGACAAAATCTTTTTAAACAACTTTTACAACCTGATGATAATGAAATAATCCAGGCTAGGAGTAAAAAAATGCAGTAGTTTTAGTTTTTCAGTGTAACTCTGAAAATATTTTTTCTAATTTTAGAGATATTGCACAATATCATATTAGGATATATTTTGGTCAAGAATGAGCCCAAGATTTGTCACAGTGTTACTGGAGAGCAAGTTTATGCCATCTAGAGTAAACATCTGGTTATACACTATGTTGTATGCAAGAAACCATGTTTATCCATAGCCAGCGTGTCAAATTCCTTTCAGTGTCACTTGCTTTGGTGCCTGGAATGCTATCAGCTAAAGTCACTGGAATCTTTAGTTTTGTAAATCTAAGATTGGTCTTGCCAATAACCAGAGTTTGTTTGGTTTTTTTATTTGAGAGATGTGTCTTTGAAGGTTCTCAGTCATCCAGGTCGTTGTAGTCAAAGGAGCTTGCAAAGAAAAGCGTCTGGACTTCTTTAAGTTGCTTGAAGACGTTTCACCTCTCTTCCAAGAAGCTTCTTCAGTTCTAAGGTCAAATGGTGGAGAGTCCCATTTGAGCTTAGAACTGAAGAAGCTTCTCGGATGAGGGTTGTTTAAGGGGGGTTTATGGTGTG